GGAATCCTTTCCCGAATACCTGATTTGTTGTGGCCATTTGCTGCAGTTTTTACTGTGTAGTACTTTAGAGAGCGGAGTAGTGACGAGTATCGCGCTAACCACTCGCGCGGTGCTGGGTTCGAATCCCGGGTCGACTCCCGCCCAGGCCAACCAAGCCTTCTGGGGACGGTAAATTGGTACCAGATTCGTCTGGGAGGATAAAACACTGACTTGTACATCGGCTGGCCACCGCAAGTCATTGTATAGGCCACATCGCATTCAATAAGCCACTACGATTCTGAATGGAAGTAGAATGCGTGCCGCATCCCACAAAGGGATTGATCAACGGCGAAGACTTTATCCTTTATTTGGTACTTTAGGCCGGGGTGCCAGCAGTGTTGATGCCACTATTTGCTGATCAGAAGATCAATGCGATGCGAGCACAACGATTTGGAATAGCCAGGGTACTGGACAAACTCAGACTCACTCCAGAAATTGTCCACGAAGCTATCGCTGATGTGCTTGAGAATGAGAAGTATGTTGAGTTCTTTTAAAGGTTACGTTTGATTTTGAAACCGTATTTTATCTTTAAGTTTTACAATACGGGCTCGAAAACTCTCCATGATGCTGACTGACAAACCAACAACTCGACCATACTCATCTCTCAGTTATATCTTGAAGTTAGCCACAAGCGATGCAAAGTATTATACACTTCGAGCCGCTCAGCGCTTGACATTCTTTGCTTTCTACAACTTGGACGTGGTCGCCACCCTAGGACTTGCTGTCACTGTGTTATCAATAAACGTTTGAACTAGTAGCAAGAAAGTCTTCTGGGCAAAGGTAATCGGGGGGGGGGGGGATTTAGCGATGTGTCTTTCATTGTTTTGATAGGTCACAGTCTTGAGACATCTTTTCGAAGCTTTGAAATGAGTACATACTCCGTTTTATTACACAAAATCCGTTTTCTGTACGAAACAATAAGTACTCTGGCCGTCTTTCCCGCAGTTAGGGACCACCCCGGGACTTCACATGAGTAGTCCTTTCCCGGCAACAAGCGCGCTTTTACTGGTGCACTGGCGGCAAGGTGTATCAGTAAGGCGGGGTCAAGACAATCGTATTTGCCGATCTATCGCGCGCGGTGTTTTCATTTTGATTGATTTTGATTGATGGGTGATTGGAGTTTCATATAGACTATTACATCACAGACATTGATAGCTATTTTTGGTTATAGACATTTTGCAGTGTCGCCACACTACCTAGGAAGCTGGCGCGACGTCCGTCTGCGCAGGAGATTAGGATGGCCCTTGTCTCAGACCGCATCAAGACGTGCGCACTAGATCCGCTTCCATCGGTTGGTTTACAAGTACCGCTGCGGAGGTGTTGCGAGGGTGTGGTGGATGGGCGAGGTTGCCGCAACCCTGTGTCGTTGCCTCCCAGCTCTTTAGATCGGTTGAGAACTAATGTTGGCGCGCGTCAACTCCAGCCCACCCCCATGAACGCCCCGTTATCCGTGCCCGCAGCGGACAAAGCTGCACCAGACCAGTCTCTCAATCGTTTCGCTTCTGAGCCTTCAATGCTCCTTCGCTCAAGCGCTCAGTGTCTTCGCTTCTCGATTTTTGGCATGGGTCTTCTCCTCGAAAACATCTGCAGAGTGGGACACCATGATCAGGCCGTTTTTAAGGGCTCTTTCCGCTCCCTTTTTTACTAGTGAGTCAGTTCGCACCCATTCATTCCCTTTTGATCGTACTGCTTACTAACTACTATCGCGAAAGTGTCCTCAAGCATGAAGAATGCCTCCAGTTAGAAATAAAAAATTCACATTCATGAGTAGTGAAAGTGAATGATTTACGTCAAAGTATGTTTATTTAACAGAACATTTGATTTGAAATGGTTCAGATCTTTGATTGTAAGTGATCAGGAGTTGTGAAGTATCGAACAGTACAGGAACAATTCAAAAGAACTGCTGAAGATATTTCATTATGCAAAAAGGATCGCGATAGTTGACCAGGAACATTCGCTGGTGCTGAACATTCTTATTATGGATCGCAGCAAAGCGACCTGTCATTAAAACTGCTCGCATCAAGAATGCGAATTCTCGATATCGGCTTATCATATGCATAGGGTGATGGAACTGAAATGAACCGATTAAGAAGAACTAGTTCTTGAGAGCTGAGCGAAAAAGTACAGAAAACTTTCCAGGAAAAGCAATCTGCCTTGAGGGCGGAGGTATTTCGCAGATTCGTGTCAGTGCTGTAGCAGCTTGCAATTCAAAGAGCAGAGATAGCTTTAGACTGAGTGTATCAGCTGGTATTTGTGAAATATTATAGCGTCTGGAGACCGTGAATTCCCTTCCCCTCTGAGTCGTGACTTATGCACGAGCCCAGAAGTGCGGTGGGTACGGGCTAACGGCGCGTCGATAGGGAACTGCGCTCTGGTTGCAACTGCTGTCGACCGTGTTGTGAAATGCATAAATGAGGCGCGAGAAACTGCGCCTACAGTAACCCCATTTTCGTAATTCAAGCTCTTTCGTTTGGGCTTCCATCGCATCACCTCATGGTCAGTATGTCCCAGGGTCTTCTCCTGTCACTTCCGATCAGTGGCATTCCCCTTTGTCTCCTATTAGCTCTAGATCTTCCATGGTTTCCACATATGCTCTTTTCTGTTTGTAATACTTGACAGCATTGCTATTTGTGGCACAATACATTATTTCGTCACTCCATGCTTCTGTTCACTTGAACCATGTTTATTTGTTGGCGGTCTTTTTTATCCGTTGTCGATGGCGGAGGAGTTCGA